CAATTGAGAAAAGATAATTCCTATGTTACATTACACAACAATACACAACAAGTAGGGCTTGAAAAAAAAAGTCCTTCTTCTATACTTTTTTTTTTTACCTTTTTTATTACTTTATATTACTATATTATTATTATATTACTCTTAATATATTAGTATTCTAATTAGAATTATTTAGTATTATAGTAATTTACTATTTAATTACTATTAATTAATTAATTACTATATTATTAATATTATATTAATAATATATTATTCTATTAATTATTATAATTATTAATATTTGAATTTTAATAGAATATTCTAATTTTAATATTAGAAATTATAATTCTATATATATATATATATATTAATCTATTCTTTATTTTATTTTTATTTTTCATTTCGTCCAAAAAATATTTTTTTATTTTCGCTTCGTGGCCCGTGCCATGGGCCATTTTTTATTTTTTGTTACAACAAATTAGATAAGATGAAAAAAGTTATTTTAATTGATTAAAAAATACTTGTTATTGAAAGAACAAGACTTTTTCCATTCTTCTAATATAGAATCAACGCAACGAGTCTTCTTTTCCTAATCCTCATTAGGTTCCATGAGCAAATACAATACATCAACGCCCAATTTTTCATAACTCTTTTTTTTTATTATTTTTTTATGATCCTATTGATTCTCTTACTCAACAAAAAACTTGTTTATATACAATAATCGCATCATAGCGGGTATAGTTTAGTGGTAAAAGTGCGATTCGTTCTATTAATCCTACTACTAATAGTTAAGGGATCCGTCGGCGCATATTCCGATCAAAAACTTTATTTCTTAAAAGGATTAAATCCTTTACCTCTCAATGAAAAATTCGAGGAAGAATATATATTCTCGTGATTTGTATTCAAGAGTCAATTATAAATTGAAAATTTGGATTATGAGATTACGAAACATAATTTTTTTTTATTGGATTAGTACTTCCAATTGAAGGAGTATGAGTAAAGGGCCTATGCATAAAGACAAAAAAGTGTATTTCTAATCGTAACTAAATCTTCAATTTTTTGTTTGTTTTGTATAGTCGAGATTGAAGCAAAATAAGTATTAAATGATGACCTTGGTTTATTATAGACATCGACATCTTGTTTTAGCTCAGTAGAAACAAAATGCTTTTCCTAAGGATTCTCTCAAATAGAAATAGAGAATGAAGTAACTAGAAAGATTATTTGAATTCTCCTCCCCCCATCTAGAGGGATCATCTAGAAAACGTGTTGTTTTGAATGCATTAAGACAAAAAAAGGGCTGACATAGATGTTATGAGTTAATTTTTTTTTTGGCTCACGTCTTATAGCTATAATTTTTTTCATATTTCACAAAGGAGTCGAATGAAACCAAAGTTTCATGTTCGGTTTTGAATTAGAGACGTTAAAAATGATGAATCAACGTCGACTATAACCCCTAGCCTTCCAAGCTAATGATGCGGGTTCGATTCCCGCTACCCGCTTATTCTATACTCTATATCTTATTTCTCTATAAAAAATATTTAATTAATAATTAATATTAAAAAATAAAATAATAATTGACCTATCATTTAATTTTGTAATTTTTAATTAATTTCATTTTTAATTAAATATGCAATGCAATTCCCGAAACTATTTCACATATTTTATATTTTGTTTTTATGACCAAGAGATGTGAAAGAAAAAAAAAATGGAATGGAAAAGCGTCCATTGTCTAATGGATAGGACAGAGGTCTTCTAAACCTTTGGTATAGGTTCAAATCCTATTGGACGCAATATTTTTCTATAATATTTTTTTCATTTTTTCATATATATTGTTATTATTTATTATTTATTATTTTTATTATTTATTAATTAATAATATTATTAATCTAATTATAATAAAGATTAAGAAAAGATTAAGAGTAATGAATTTCTTTATACCTGTTCCTGAAGTAGAAAACGTTCCATCTGTTCCTGAATGGCTTCTTTCAAAAGGGCTTCCGCTTCTTCAGTAAATGTTTTTGTAGAAGATATAATTTCTTGAAACTGAGTTTTACTCGTTTTTAAGTAGGTACGTAACTCAACAAGAAATTTCCTTACTTGTCTAATTTCTAATGAATCAAGATAACCATTCGTTCCGGTATAAATAGTCATTATCTGTTCTGCCACCATGAAAGGGGTGGCTTGGGATTGTTTGAGCAACTCATGCAATCGTTGACCTCTTGCCAATTGATTCTGAGTAGCTTTATCAAGATCCGAAGTGAATTGCGCAAAGGCTTCTAATTCTAATTTTAATTTACCAACTACTTGTTTCATAGCCTTAATTTAAGCTACAAATCCTACTCTGGAGATCGAAATACCCACATTAATAGCAGGCCTGATTCCAGCATTGAATAGATCGGCGGATACGAATATTTGTCTGTTTGTAATGGAAATTACATTAGTAGGAATATAAGCCAAAACATCTCCCGATTGGGTCTTAACTATTGGTAAAGCAATCATACTTCCTTCACCTAAAGAAGAACTTGGTTTGGCGACTCTTTCCAAAAGGCGTGAATGCAAATAAAAAACATCTCCTGGATAAGCTTCACGTCCAGGCGGTCTTCGTAATAGAAAAGACATTTTGCGATAAGCTTGCACTTGTTTGGAAAGATCATCATAAATAATTAAAGTACGTCGTTCACAGTACATAAAATATTCAGCCAGAGCTGCTCCTGTATAAGGAGCGAGATATTGTAGTGTAGCCGGGGAATCTGCCGTTTCGGCTACCACAATAGTATACTCCATTGCTCCTTTTTCCTGTAAAGCATTTACTACCTGAGCCATAGAAGATACTTTTTGACCAATAGCTACATAAACATATATTACATTTTGCCCTTGTTGTTTGAGAATCGTATCTATGGCTACTGCTGTTTTACCAGTCTGCCTGTCCCCAATAATTAGTTCTCACTAACTGCATCCTATAGGGATCATTGAGTCAATAGCAATAAGCCCTGTTTGAAGAGGCTCATATACGAAACGCCTCGAAATAATCCCTGGAGCGGGAGATTCAATTAACCGAGATTCAGAAGATGAAATTGCACCTCGACCGTCAATGGGTTTAGCCAGGGCATTTATAACACGACCCAAATACACCTCACTCACTGGTATCTGAGCAATTTTTCATGTTGCTTTTATAGAACTTCCCTCTTGTATCATCAAGTCGTCACCCATTACTACAACACCAACATTATTTGATTCCAAATTAAGAGCAATGCCTATTGTACCCTCTTCAAATTCTACCAATTCACCTGCCATTACTTCATCAAGACCATAAATATGAACAATGTCATCACCCACTTGAAGTACAGTCCCAGTATTTACAATCTTTACTTCCCTATTATATTGCTCAATACGTTCACAGATAATATTACTAATCTCGTCAGCTCGAATGGTTACCATGAGTATTTCTTAATTTTTTTTTTTGGAAAAAAAAAATAATGCCTACAGTAGAAGGTCTAATTAGTTATTTCTTTAATCGCCCCAGACATGCCAATATTGGCATTAATAGTATGTAAATGTAACTCGTTGGTCAAACAACTATTCAAAGTCCCTAGAGCTCCTTGTAAGGCTTGTTGGAAAACCCGTTGTCGAACTTGATTAATCGCTCTTTGTTGTTCAAAATGAATGGTTTCGTTTTTGTATACAGGATTTCCAATCCTAGCAGGAAAAGGAGGGAAACGGATACTCAATTTAAAGTGAGTAAACAGAATTCCATACTCAATCTCATAGATATATATAGAATTCTGTGAAAAGTCGTGTTCGATGAAAGTCGTATGTACAGCTTTGAGGGAGGTCTTTCATATCTTTCGAGATCCACCTTACAATATGGGGTCAAAAAACCAAAATAAATGATTTTTATTAGCCCTTACAAAAGGAAAACTGATTCTTGAGAATCCTTTACACGCTCATGTCACGTCGAGGTACTGTAAAAGAAAAAACTGCAAAATCCAATCTAATTTATCGTAATCGATTAGTTAACATGTTGGTTAACCATATTATGAAACATGGAAAAAAATCATTGGCTTATCAAATTCTCTATTGAGCCATGAAAAAGATTCAACAAAAGACAAAAACAAATCCATTATTTGTTTTGCATCAAGCAATACGTGGAGTAACTCTCGATATAGCAATAAAAGCAAGACGTGTAGGCAGATCGACTTATCAAGTTCCCATTGAAATAGGATCCACACAAGGAAAAGCACTTGCTATTTGTTGGTTATAAGGAGCATCCTGAAAACGTCCAGGTTGAAATATGGTTTTCAAATTAAGTTCCGAATTGGTGGATGCTGCCAAAGGGAGTGGCAATGACATACGCAAAAAGGAAGAGACTCATAGAATGGCAGATGCAAATAGAGCTTTTGCACATTTTTGTTAATCCATGAACATGATATATATCTATATCTATATCTATATAGACACATAGACTCATGGAGCCATACATCTCGATCGGAAAAGAATCAATAGAAAAAGAAAGAATCGGAATTGATCGCTATATTTCTCGAAACAAACGAAAAGGAAACGAAAGATGAAACATAAATCATGGATCAATTAAGCCCTCTCGGAGACTTGCTTAAGAATAAGAAAGAGGTAAATACCATGGAATAAGGTTTGATCCTATTTATGGGATTCCGTAAATATTCCATTCCAAAAAAAAAAAGTTCGAAACAATTGGGATTTTTTTGGAGATTGGATGCAGTTACTAATTCATGATCTGGCATGTACAGAATGAAAACTTCATTCTCAATTCTATGAGAATTTTTATGAAAGCCTTTCATTTGCTTCTCTTCGATGGAAGTTTTATTTTCCCTGAATGTATCCTAATTTTTGACATAATTCTTCTTTTGATGATCGATTCAACCTCTGATAAAAAAGATATGCCTTGGTTATATTTCATCTCTTCAACAAGTTTAGTAATGAGTATAACGACCCTATTGTTCCGATGGAGAGAAGAACTTATGATTAGCTTTTCGGGAAATTTCCAA